TTTCTGACTGTTTTGTAGGAGGATCAAGGTGTAACAGGGATGGTACACACCATTTAATTTCTTTTCCTACTTGCTTATTTTCTCCCCCTAGAACCGGGAATACTTTCTCATCAAAGTGACAATCGGCAAAACGTGCCGTAAAAACATCACCAGTCTGCGGTTCTAGGTATCTTATAATTGATGGAGAGTCACAGCCAATATATATTCCCAACCTTCTTTGTGGTCCCATCTTTGTACGTTGTGGTGGTGCTATAGGCACATACACTGCACAACCAAAAATTCTTAGATGGGATATATTTGGTTCACGACCAAATACTAGTTGTAATGGGGAATATTTATGATATGCACTTGGTCTTATCCGAATGAGTGCTTCTGCATGCAAAATGGCATGTCCCCATACAGAGGTTGGAAGTTTTGATCTCATGATCAATGGTCTTGCAATCAATTGCAGACGTTTAATTAATGATTCCGCCAAGCCATTTTGTGTATGAACATGAGCTACAGGATGTTCAACTTCAATTCCCGTTACCATACAATAATCATTGAATGCTTGGGATGTGAATTCACCAGCGTTGTCTAGTCTAACTCTTTTAATAGGGTAATCAGAAAACTGAGCCCTCAGTTTGATTATTTGAGTTAGAAATCTCGCAAATGCCATATTTCGAGATGATAATAGACAAACATGTGACCATCTGCTGGATGCGTCAATTAATACCATGAAATAGTGGAATGGTCCACATGGTGGATGTATTGGTCCACAAATATCTCCTTGAATTCGTTCAAGGAATTTTGGTGATTCTTTATCAATTTTAGTTGGCGATGGCCTTATGATCAGTTTTCCAAGAGAACATGCGGCACATGTCTTTTTATTCCCATGATATATCTCCTGGATTTTCAATGGGTGTCCATGTGAGCTCTCTATGATTTTTCGCATCATTGTGGTGCCTGGGTGACCAAGGCGATCATGCCATAATACGAAATCTTCTGGATTTCTTTTAATCACTAGATGCGATTCGATTGCACTTATATGAGTATAATGCAATCCTGAAGGAAGTTTTGGAAATTTTTCCAATATAAGCCTTTTTCCCGATTTATCAGAAGTTATGTACATATACTTCTTTTCATTCTCAGTTGCAGACTGAGTATCATATCCTTGAAGGTATATGTCTTTGAAACTCAACAAATTCCTTTTAGAGTTTGGAGAATACAAGGCATTTTTTATGGAAAACTTGGTTCCATTAGGCAACATAAAGTTGGCCATACCAGTTCCTTCAATCACGTCTACAGGACCTGATATTGTATTGACAATAATGTTTGTCGGTTTTAAGTTACAAAAATATCTTTTGTCCTTCAGAATAGTGTGTGTTGTTCCACTATCTGGTATACAAATTTCTTGAGCCATTTCCTTGGAGATTGTCTCATCCATTTCTGTGATTAAGATAAACATCAATAAAAAGAAAGTAAATTTTATTCATAAAAAGGGAAACACACAATAATTATACATTAAATTGTTGTTAAAACAACACTATTTTTCAAAATAACAAAAGCATAATATTATACAAATATGGCATAACTAGAGACTATTTCAGCAGTCTCAATACAAGCTCTTTAGTTAACCGCAAAAGTGGTCTAATCCAAATCATTTGCAAAGGAGGGAGAATCGAGATACGATGTATCCTCGAAGTTTTCGAGATACGATGTATCCTCGAAGTTTTCTGCTAAATTGACTTCTTTCCCTTTTCTTTTCGTGGAATTCATGTACAGCTTACAAAGATGTGGAGGGGTTCGACACGTACGGGCCCAATGTCACTTAGATCCACATCTATAACACACATTCTCACTCTTCTGGGTGGAATTTTCTTGGTGTTCCTTCCCTTTGGAATCATTTTGAGGACGAACCCATTTGAACGACCCCCTTCCACGTGAGTTGTAATTTCTTCCACGCCCACGATTAAAACGACCACCACGACCCCGATATGATTGATTCCCTTTCTCAGGATAGTTTACATCTTTTTTCTCCGGATTTTTTACATCCGTTGCATTCACTTCAGGGAATGCTTTCGTTCCTGCAGGCCGAGCATTGTGGTTTTTGATGAGAAGTTCATTATTCTTCTCTGCTATCATAAGCGCCACAATCAGCTCGGAAAACATTTTGTACTTGCAGTTCCTGTATTGTTCTGCAAGAACATAGTGCTCCTTATGGAATGTAAGGTAGGTTTTATTGAGCATTTCGTCTTCGCTCACTTTCTTACCACAGTATTCCAACTGAGCCACGATTCTTAACATGGTAGAATTATACTGTGCTACCTTGTTAAAATCTAGGAACCTCAAGTTTGCCCATTCGTCAAGGGCATGTGGGAGAGTTATTGCTTTCTGGTTGTCAAACCTATTCTTTAAAGCTTTCCACAACTCCACGGGGTCTTTTACATTTGCATAATCATGCATCAGATTTTCATCTAGATGCTTTCTTAGAAAAATTATCGCCTTTGCCTTTTCATTGGCAGGTGATTCATTTTTCTCTTTTATCGTCTCCAATAGATTCTGCGAATCTAAATGAAGTTCCACATCAGTGGTCCATGCTATGTAATTCGCTCCAGTGATTTGAAGAGCTTGGATCTTAAGCTTTTCAATGTTTGCCATTTGTTTTCTAAAAATAAAAACATGGAATATTATTAGAAATCTTTTAATTTATTTTAAAACATATTTAAAATGATTCGTTTACATTAATAATGCAAGCGATTACAAAAAGAAAAAGCGCACAAATAAGTAAACTAATGTTCAAACGAAATTCTTGCGGAGTAAATTCTACAACGCAAAGATTATAAATACACAAAATAATGATTCCAAAAACAAATATTAAAAGTAACCGAAACATTCTTCAAAACTTCAAAACTTCAAAATTCTTCTTCTTTTTTCGGAGAGAGTTTTTAGAGGGATGAAAAATTTTGTTTTGATGAAATGAATGAGAAAATGAATGTATTTATAGATTGAAAATTACTGTTCATAGCCGTTTGAAAAGTGATAAATTTTTGAAATTTTTTCTTCATGACCGTTGGTGAAAAAAAAATTAAACAAAAATTAATCTGAAAAATTAGAGATCAATCAGATAAAAATTATCGATTCAGATAAAAATATTTATACTGGTAAATAAACCTTTTTGTATGATAATCATAATATAAACAAATAATTCACGGTGATATTATGGTCACGGAGTCATCCACATAGGAACAGTAAATAAATATGTGGCGGCTCAGCCGACCAGTAGCAGAAATAAATATTTAAAGCAGCGCATAAAATTAAGGCGGCTCAGCCGACCGGTAGCAGAAATAAATATTTAAAGCAGCGCATAAAATTAAGGCGGCTCAGCCGACCGGTAGCAGAAATAAATATTTAAAGCAGTGAATAAAATTTCAGGTGGCTCAGCCAACCATTAACAGAAAATAATTAATTATGGTGCATGAAGTAATATATATATACATATATAGTTTCTTTTATTTATTTATATAATTTTCTTTTCTCTTTTTCTCTTTTCCTTTTTTTTTCTTTTTCTCATTATTTTTTTTTTTTTTAACGAGGCGACATACCGCCCGGTATAATACCGTATTTTTTTTTCAGCGATCATAGAGTGATCGTGCTGATAACGTGTTATAAATAATTACTTTATTTTATGGTGAATATAAATAATAAATAAGAGATAAATTTTATACCCGCATAAGGATCGGGATACTGAATAGTAAAGAGACGAGAGAGAGATGTTTGTTACTTCTCTTATATTTGAAGTAATGAATTGTGAAGGTGTGTATTACATCGAACGATTTCGATCGTTTATATAGAGGTAGAAAAGATAAGTTACTATGCTGCATAGTGACGGTGGGCTCCACACAAAATATTATTTTACGATCGTTTACGCATGTGTATTTGATGTTGCAGCTTTCCTTGACTTTTACAACAATTTGGGTATTATTCAGGCAATGAATAATGAACAGATATTTTTCAGGAAATATTAATTAGTTGGGTTTTTTCAGGGATTTTATTAAAGTAAAGTAACGGCCTTTGACGGTTCTGTTAACGTCGTTAACGGCCTATGACGGGAAATGAACTCTAACAAAAATTAATGCAAATTTTTTTTTAAAACAACATTAGTCATATTTCACTAAATTTTATTAGATATAATATATGTATTTTTTGTTAACTTTATACAATTATTAATTTATGATATTGATGAGACCATATGTTTACATGAGATTTTCAAAAATATTATTATCTTATTATTTTATCAAATTGTGTCATTTTTTATACTGATCCAACTCGGAACCGGAGAAATTTATTAATTTATCGAATATTAATTTATAAAGGTTTTACTGTAATGTTGTTTGTATTCTGGGTGAGGGGAATAAAGGGAATAGTTAGTTACTTAAGTAAATTTATACCCAAATTCACTAAAAACTTTTAGATTACTCATGATTTACTTGTTTTGCACCTAACTATTATAGGAATTGTAGATGGAGAAAAAGATCTACTAGAATAGTTTTTCGTGGGCTCTTAAAGTAAACAATGTTTATTATGTATGGTATTATTAACTAAGAGGATCTTACTGTATATAAGCTTTGCTAATCCCTTAAACAATATAAAATATAAGAGTTAAATAAAGATGGATTTGTAAACTACGTAGTAGTGTACCAGCTGATACACGATCTTGTCTAGATGGGCATAACGAAGGTTACATAAAAAGGTTGGTTAGTCCGACTGATCTGTTTCCAAATGGGATGGTTCACGTGAATGAACGACTCTGTTTCAAATAATCACTTTTCGTCGGTGCTTTAGCCACCAGCTCTGTCGCATTAGTCCGCACCACAGGGATCCATACGGTGAGGTCCTCGTAAGTCGTAAAATTAGTTAAAATTCATTGATCTCTCATCTCTCGCCCTCTATCTCTCTCCAAGTTCAAGATCCGATTGAAACATAAGAACAAATTTGGGATACATGCATTCATCGACTCATCGGGATACAATCAATTATTACATTAAAATTTCTAGAGAAGATACTTCATAACTCATAAGCCAAATAAGCTTCTGGATACAATCGAATTCTACAACTTCATAAATCACAATGTAACCATACAAGACTAAAACTTGAGATAAATGCAACGGGGTCGTCTCACTGCATGGCCTGAATGACCGAAGCCACTGTCTGGATGAGAGTCATCAACAGTAGTAACGTGGCGGCAACAGTGGCCGTCCCTGTCCACATGTTACCGAAGTACACTCGCTTGAGGATGGCGAGTGAACTATTGACTGGACTTGAATAGTAAGCGTTTACTTCATTAACTATATTAGAATAGTAAGAATCTTCGATGGTAACGCCCAAACTGAGCCTGTTCACCACATCCGCTACCAAACGGTGTTGCCCTATCCAATTCTTTATTATCCCTTACAAAACCAAAATCACGACAAAATGAAGATATACATATAGATTCATAAAACATATACGAATCGTATTATTATTACGATAATAAGATTACCTTTCTCGACAAACAAGTCAACGTCTTTATCAGTGTCAATGAGGGACGCCAGGAAGACAAAATAGTTAGAGACGTGGACTTCGTCAGGGTAGTGGCATTGTTCAAGTGCCATTACGTTCCTCAGTATTTTCTCCGTATCTGCATGAATGTAGAGACACGGTATCTTCAAACAACCATTTACAAATCTCACATCCAGCAAGAGATCTTCTTCAACTGCCTTAAATTTTATTCCCCCTCTATCTAACTTATCCGCATTATGCACATATTCCATTTCAGGGAAAGATCCTTTACCATGCTCTGGAAGCGTTTCCACGTAGACACACCTATTCAGATCAGTGAAATGTCTGAACTTTGAGTTGTTTCCAACTTTGGTATCGAATCCAAAGAGATCATCGATAACTAATTCGCGGAATGTCTCGTTCGGGCGGAGTATTGGAACAACTGGATCGAAGAGTTTCTCGAGGATGAAGTAAGGAAGCTGGTTCTCGAGCAGCAAGAGATCATTTCTGACTGTGATTGAAAGAGTGTGCTGGTCTATGAGAGGATCCCCTCTTTTCGTTGTCCCTTGTTCAGAAATCCGCAAAATGAACTCTAGTATAAAAACAGAGTCGTGTAGGATCATGTCCACAAACTCTTGAGATGGAATCCAAGTCGTTGATTCCGAATAGCTTGCCCTTATCATCTCTTCGTCTTCTTCGATTATTCTCCTGAATCCATCAATGGCTTTCTTCCCTCCAACCCTCTGTGAGAATTTCTCTAAGTAAATCTTCTTATGCTCCTCCATGTTCAAGTAGCCTATGGACTTTGTGTTTGTGATATCTCCAAGACACTTGAGAGCTTGAGATTTTAAAGAACGATGGAGAGGTCCAATGATAACGAACTGAGGTATGTATGATTCTGGGTCTAGTTGACGCATACTGTATGGGACTCTGTAGATACAGCAGATGTCGGGGATTGTAGGAAACTGCCACATCCCAGGAGCCGATTTGTCCAGCTCATGGATCGTTCCCGATTCAAGATCCAACGTCCGGTCGGATCCAATGGTCTGTGCAGAATCTGATGTCTCTCGGAAAGCCATTGGAGAAGAAAGAGGAGGAAAACAGAAAAAGAACTTACGTACAAAATCACTCTTAGTGAAAGATGGTTGAGAATCTTGTTCATACATTCATCGAAAATACTTTCACAGCTTACTGATAAATATTATTCATTTATTTGAGGTCAGAAATTCAATGTACAAGATACTATATATCCTAATTATTACCGAGTTTGTCTGGCCAACTGCTCTCGTAATAATTGATATCTTCTAACCAACCAACCCTTGTAAAACTCACGTTTTTCACGTTATATACTTTGCTGTAAACTATGGACTCCGATAAACTGCCTATATCAGATATTTAGGTGGTTTAGAGTGGTGAAATTTTTTTTTCAGGAATGACACTATTTTGACATTTAATTGCACGGTTTGGCAAAGTCACATATGTAAGTGCGAGTGAGGTACGATAAATTGCAGAAAGTAAACGAGACAAGAAATTTGTTAACGAGGTTCGGTTTTTCCTACTCCCCGGGACCACGTCCAGATTTCGATTCCACTAGAACAAGAAAGCAAATTACAACATATTCGCAAACGCGTAAATCAAGCACAACCCTCTTGATTCACCGCTCCGTTCTATTAACATGAAATCTTAAGGATAAATCTCTACCCTTAACTAAACTCTCCTGAGCCTAAATTTAATCAGGATAACCTAACCCTGAGCTAAACTCCCCCTGAGTCTAGACTTCAATTCTCCAAAGTTTCTCGAACGACCACCACACACGAATCGTCACACCAACGAACCCAATGGTCACCAAAACTCTCCAACAAGAACCTTCAACACCAACACACAAATAAGCTTGATCACACAAGCACAAACCCGCGAAACTACGTCGCACACGATCACACACAATCTCTCACATCGAATCTCTTTGGGATTTTTATCTTCTTCAAATCCACTTTCTCATAAGGTCACGTCCCCCTTATATAATAAACAGAAACTTGCACCTCAAGTTCTTCCAATCACACATAAGAGAAAGTTTCTAAATCCCATAAGGAAAAGGTTTTCCTTTTTGCCAATTTCCTTTTCACTTCAAGCAAACTTCCTCTTTGCTTACATGATTCCTTTTGTCTTCAAACAAAGATATTTTCCTTTTCCTTGACTTAACAAACGCTCCAACATCCAAGTACTCGAGCTCCTCATCAGCAGTTATGCATCTCATCTTCCTGAATTACATCTTGTACTACTTTCTGTAATACTTCAACGACTAGTACAGAACACCAAAATAACTGCATCTTCAATCTCCCCCTTTTTGACTATGTATGTGAACTCAACAACTCTAGCTTCAATAACTTCATCACCTGTAACACAACACCAATAACTCCAATCTCCCCTTACTTGAGTCACATCATGGTCAAAAACTAACCAAACGATCGCCTCCATCTAAACGAAGAATGAAATACCATTGCACCATCATCATAATGATTAACTCTCTTAGACCAAATATTCCTGAGATGTATGAATCCATAACGCACGATGCTTAGCTCTGTTTTACTTCCTGAACCATTTCCTGAATGATCTCCTGAACGATCTCCTAAACAATCTCCTGAACCTCACCCTGATCTACCCGAAACAAGACTAAATCTCTATCGAGAACCCGCTCTGATACCAATTGTAAGTGCGAGTGAGGTACGATAAATTGCAGAAAGTAAACGAGACAAGAAATTTGTTAACGAGGTTCGGTTTTTCCTACTCCCCGGGACCACGTCCAGATTTCGATTCCACTAGAACAAGAAAGCAAATTATAACCTATTCGCAAACGCGTAAATCAAGCACAACCCTCTTGATTCACCGCTCCGTTCTATTAACATGAAATCTTAAGGATAAATCTCTACCCTTAACTAAACTCTCCTGAGCCTAGATTTAATCAGGATAACCTCACCCTGAGCTAAACTCCCCTTGAGTCTAGACTTCAATTCTCCAAAGTTTCTCGAACGACCACCACACACGAATCGTCACACCAACGAACCCAATGGTCACCAAAACTCTCCAACAAGAACCTTCAACACCAACACACAAATAAGCTTGATCACACAAGCACAAACCCGCGAAACTACGTCGCACACGATCACACACAATCTCTCACATCGAATCTCTTTGGGATTTTTATCTTCTTCAAATCCACTTTCTCATAAGATCACGTCCCCCTTATATAATAAACAGAAACTTGCACCTCAAGTTCTTCCAATCACACATAAGAGAAAGTTTCTAAATCCCATACGGAAAAGGTTTTCCTTTTTGCCAATTTCCTTTTCACTTCAAGCAAACTTCCTCTTTGCTTACATGATTCCTTTTGTCTTCAAACAAAGATATTTTCCTTTTCCTTGACTTAACAAACGCTCCAACATCCAAGTACTCGAGCTCCTCATCAGCAGTTATGCATCTCATCTTCCTGAATTACATCTTGTACTACTTTCTGTAATACTTCAACGACTAGTGCAGAACACCAAAATAACTGCATCTTCAACATAACCTTCTCACGCTATAGCCACATGCCTTAATTCTGACAAAAATGCCCCTCAACCGTAGGAGCAAAACTGAACCGAAGTATTAAGAAACTGAAACTAAACTGTTGTCTTGTGGGAGAAAAACCGGATCGTGACTGTTTAGTTTCTTACTTGTGTAAAAAAAAAAAACATAAAATCTTCTTGAATGATTATGTTGATACGTTGCCTCAACCGGTAGTCCGTTGCCTCAACCGGTAGGCGCGGTTAGTCCGTTGCCTCAACCGGTAGGTGAAGCCTATGTTGATACGTTGTTATTTGATTTCGAAACCTTCTTGAATGATTAAAACATAAGTGTAGTTTGTAAACTTTGTATCCTCGTCCATAGGGTAACTTTCCTCACTGATTGTATTTTGTAGAGTGAGTGTAGTAGATGGTTTAATTACAATTTCGATTGTGTGTATCATTATTTAGCTGCTACTAGTACATCATCATAAAATTAAAGTAAAAGTACATGTTTGTCAATTTACACAAATACTATATTTGTTGGCGAAAAAAAGCGGTTAGAAATCGCAGCTCATAATTAAGGTTTTCGTTTTTTTTAGGTCAAAAATCAATCATACCATTATCACTGTTTAAATGATTAGGGAGGGGACAATGTCATGCAATGTAACATACGTTACTAGCAGAAGAAGACAGTCAGCAAAGGTTCTTAATTAGGCCTGGGCGTTCGGCATTAACCGAAAAAACCGAACCGAACAAACCGAGTTTTTTGGTTATCGGCGCCGAAGCTAAGAGGAAGACTGAACCGATCGGCAAAAATATTCAGAGATTTCGGTTATCAATTCGGTTCGGTTCGGCAAGCCATAACCGAACGGTTCTTCGGTTCTCTTACAACCACCACCTATCGTCGACAATCCGCCATAAGTAAGCTGAAGAAACGAGGATGGGTTGGGGGAGCCGCCATGGATACGCTGGAAAGAGACGATGGAGTAAAGAAGAAAGATAAACAAAACGCTAGGGTTAGTTGCGTTTCAGTTATTCTACGCTATTTTGGGCTTCTTAATGGGAAATATGTTTAATGTTATTTGTGTAAACTATACGGGCTGGCCCAAAATTGTTAAAGCCCACTATCTATCTAATAAAACAAAAAAACCTAGCTAATTTGCTTTATTAGCTCAATCGTTCTCCTTCTTCCTCTCTAGGGGTGTCAAAATGGTTAACCCAACTCAACTCATCAACTCATTTAATTTGATGGGTTAGAAGGTTAAATGGGTTGACTCATTAACCTATTAATGTAATAAATAAATTAATAATTAAAATATAATAATAAAAATAATAACAATAATAATAATAATAATAATAATAATAATAATAATAATAATAATAATAATAATAATTAACGCCACTATTATTTGGCGGGAAAATTACGGATTTACGTTTTTGGCGGGAAAATTATGGATTTACGTTTTTGGCGGAAAAACTACATATTTTCGTTTTTGGTTAAAAATTATAAAAAATTTTGGCGGGAAAATCACGGATTTACGTTTTTGGCAAAAAAATTGCGGATTTACGTTTTTGGCGGGAAAATTTTACTTTCTCATTTTTTGTTTAAAATTATAAAAAATTTTGGCGGGAAAATCACGGATTTATGTTTTTGGCGAGAAAATTAAGGATTTACGTTTTTGGCGGGAAAATTTTACATTCTCATTTTTGGCGGGAAAATCACGGATTTACGTTTTTGGCGGGAAAATTTTACATTCTCATTTTTGGCTAAATATTATAAAAAAAATTTGGCGGGAAAATCACGGATTTACGTTTTTGGCGGAAAAATTACATATTTTCGTTTTTGGTTAAAAATTATAAAAAATTTTGGCGAGAAAATCACGGATTTACGTTTTTGCGGGAAAATTGCGGATTTACGTTTTTGGCGGGAAAATCACGAATTAATATTTTGATGGAAAAATTTTGTATTCACATTTTTTGGCGGGAAAATTAAGGACTATATTCAATCGGTTTAGAAATTTTGGTTAGACTCAAATTGAAATCTGTTTAGAGATTTGAATTGGTTTGATTCAATTTAACAAAAATTGATAGGTTAAATGGGTAAACCATTGAAACCACTGACCCATTACAACCCAACTCATTTGATCCATCAACCCATTTGACTCAATAACTCATTTGATCCATCAACTCATTTGAGTCAAAAATTTCAACTCATTAGGGTTCATGGGTTGAGTTGAGTTTTGGTTAACCCATGAATCTTGACCCATTTTGACACCCCTATTCCTCTCATTGACCTAACCGGCTAATCATCTAAAAACCAGAAGCGAGAGAAAAAAATTCACTCCCCCTGTACAAGCACCGATTTATAATCTCTTTTACTCTCCAGAATCTTAAATCTTTGTAAAAAAGCTTCACCTTTTCTCCATTCTTCTATCTCCTTTCGCCTAATTCTTCCCGCTAATTTTCCATAAATATTAAAACTACGAAATGCTAGATTTTGTGTTCAAATCCGAGATTTGCTCGCTATTGGAAGGTGTGACTGTTAATCCTTTTCATTGTTTAATCATTCGGACATGAATTTCATGGGTTTTCTCGAATGGATCTTGTGAGTTATTAAACTCATTTAGAGGAAATTGTCGTTATTAAACTCTATATTATTGTAATTTATATTCGG